TAGGACCCGGGGAACATAGGACCCGGGGAACATAGGGATGACCCCGATGTAAATATGTGCCATAACAATATGAAGAAACTACAGGGCATCGATAAATAAGGTATACTTTGAAAAACCTTATAACATTTCATTGTTTCAGAATCTTAGTGTCAAAACAACAAACAGAATTCAAGAGGTTCTAGGAAACATAACCACACAAGATCTGATCCAGCTGAGTCCAAGTAAAGACCGTAAAGATGAGCAGAGATGTAGATCTATCTGCACATACACTCTGTACTGACCTTGAGGCCAATTACAAATACTGATTCTTACAAATTAATGTCATTGTTCGTAGCCATGGGAAGAAAATAAATCAACCATTAATAAAATACCAAATTTGTATGTTTTTAGATCAGATAACATCAGGGACATAAAGATGAGAAAAACAAATTGAAGGTGAACAAAAAAACTCTAGCACACGGATAGTTCAAACATCAAAACACATAAACAAGACTAAGAACAATACTTATACTGGACTCGATACTGCAGACCTGCTATAAAATTTAGCAACCGTTCAATGAAATGAAATGAAACTGATGGACTATACAAGCAGCTAATGTATTCAAATAGCCTCCAGATAAAATAAATGTGAACACTTGCAGCTACTACATGACCTACGTCTGATGGCAGTACAGCGCCGCCAGGTGAAACGCATCAAACTAACTTCACAAAGTAAAGATATTTGGCTACTATCAGGGGAGCCTGTGATGAGGCTGACCTCAGTGTTAAATGCCTCCCCTGGCATTGTGAAATCAGACAGGTGACCTGTAACTAACCCAAAGCCTATGGGCGATGTGACCTGGCTGCAGCATGATAACAGGTGACTCCTGACCTCTTTGTGGCCTCCTCGGTGTTTCTCCAGGATCCGCAGGGTGTAGTTGGTCCTCTGACCTTTGCTGTTGAACTCCACACGACCTGTCAGACCATCGTACTCCACCTGGCAGGCAGACGGAGAGAGTGGGTTGAGGAAGTATGAAAGAGGATGGGAAAAGAAGAGATGGACAGATAAGAAAATGAGAGAAGAGTAACAATGAAGTGAGATGGAGACATAAATACAACCCTCTATATAATAACTTTTCTTCTCACTATCCATCATGATTGGGCCGACAACAAGTACTATCTGCAGTAAATAGGAAGAAGGAGAGGGTGGAAGAAAAAAAGAAATAAAGAAAGAGCTAGAGAGTAAGTGTCTGAGGCTGAACCAGATAGGGATGATCAGTTTTGGATCAACTACTGTAGGAGAAAGTGACTGACTGAGCAAGAGGCTCAGATAGAGCAGCAAGAAAAGTCAACAGCTCCCTAATAAGACTCAAAACTGCACCTCACAGCTCAGCGCTGCCTCTCCAAAACCCAGGTGCTGGCACTGTTAGCGAGATCTATGATGAATGGCACGGTGCTGAAGATGGAGCACACCATGATGTTGACTAACAAAGGCAGATGTCGGGCCGGTGGGGCGGAGGCAATGAGAGATGGGGCTCGGGCTGCCTTGACAACAGGTCATCGATGAGAGAGACACACAGACGACCAGAGATGGGAGATGACAAAAAGTAACAAGAGACAAGAGGTTACATGCAACATGAGATGAAGATGATACAGGATGTTGCTGTAGTATTTAATCAGTAAGAGAAAATTAATCGACCACAATTCTGATTAGTGATTCGTTTGAGTCATTTCTTCTTTGCTGGTCTCAAGTGTGAGAATTTCTGCTTTTCTCCAATTTATAACATCACAAATGAAAAATTTAGGGGTTTTGGGATGTCTGAAAACACAGGCCATTTAAAGGAAGGCTGCAATGATTATCTTCATTAACGGTTATTTTGCCTTTTTTAAAACTTTGTCTATGAAATATCAGAAAATACTGAAAAATATCACAATTTCCTTCGGTCCAACGTGCTGCTTTCAACATTTTTGTTTTATCTAATTCTTGTTTCTATCAGTGATTCAGTTTAGTTTTACAAAAGCAGCGAATCCTCACATTTTAGAGTCTGGAAGCGCAAATGTTTGACATTTTTGCTTTTAAAGAAACTCAAACAATTAATTAATTTTCAAAATAGTGGCAAATTCATTTTTGTTGCTCCTTAAACCGAGTAATATTTTCAGCTCTAATTTGAAGATGTCACCTTAGGCTTTGGGAAATTGTTATTGATATTTTCACAATTTTTCTAACATTTAACATTCAAACAAATTTCTGTATATGTATATGAGCATGAATATTAGCAGGTGTTTTACAATACATGTTGTATTTATCAAGCGTTTACCATGCGCAGGTAGTTCATAAGACTGGTCCCATGTTGCCAGATCTGAGGTGAGGTGCAGCTGAGTGGCTTCACTCCGATTTCCTGACTGCGGTTCAATTCCCTCACCGCCCCCACCACCACATGCACTGCATCAAACATCAGCGCTGACGAGAGCTGTGGAAGGGGGAGAGGAAACAAGAGATACACGGAGGGGGAGAAAGGCAATGGGGGGAGGGATGGAAACAAAGCGAGGGAAGCAAAGACAGGGAGTCAAGGGAGAAGATGCAATGAGGAGAGAGGTGCGAGCAGAGATGATTGAATGGTTAACAGGGATGGAGGGAGGGAGGCAGGGATGTAAGAGGAGAGAGAGAGACAGAAGAGATGTGAGGTATGAGTAAACCAGTGGGGAGGAAACACAGATGGATACATCAATACCCATTAAATACAAGCAAAAGACTAGCTGAATCTCTTTAACTGCTCCATGAATCAGTGTGAGGAATAAAGTAGCTTAATGTTACGTGGCATACAAACAAAGCTTTGAAAATGACTCCTGAATGTGCGCATGCATGAATACTCAAGTGTCTATGAGACTGACCGCAGGGCCAGGGTACGTCAGGTCACAGCCCTCCCTCCAAGAGAGGTTGAGGCTCCTGATGAACTCCAAATAGAAGGGATGAGTGGTGTTAAACATAGAGAAACCTACAATGTTGGACTGCTCATCCACTATATCATCCAGTCTCAGCAGTGGGAAGTCCTAGAAAGGAGGAGGAGGAGCAGAGAGAGGCAGAAAATCCAGGTGAGTGACATGTTGACAGTGTATAAAATCTTGAAAAATACTGTGTAAAGGAGAGTTTGATGAAGAAAAAGAAAGGCTACGGGGAGTGACAACATCTAATCTCTGATGGGGAGAGAAAAAAGGGTGTAGACAGCTAGGAAAAGGGTAAAACTGATACAGGGGAAATAGAGGTTGATGGAAATGACTCCAGTAGCTTTTCACAAAAATATACACATAAGACGTGGCATCTAAAGCACAAGAGAACATCATGTACAGAGGGCGAAGAGGGGAGAAAAATATAAAAATCAGGCACACAGCATAAAGTGACACATTAATTCAAATGGTAGAAGAGGAGGGGAGTATATCAAAGAGGCAGATGAAAACACCGGAAGCGTCGAGAAGGTGGCGGGTGGCAGAAGAAAAAGGGTACACCACGTCTGTCATCACCTCCACCTCAGACCCCTTTTTCTTCTTTTTTGCCATCCTCCCCTGCACTTCCACATCTTTGTACAGTACATTCATTTCTCAGATCTCTCTCCCTCTTTCATTCCCTCTCCTCATCCTTCATCTCCCCTCTCCTTCTTCTCTCTCTGTCACCTCTCTTTTCTCCCTTTATCTCATACTTTCTCCGCCTTAACACCTTTGCTTGCTCATAAAGGGACAGAAGAGGAGGAGCTGGAGAGAGGAACAAGTGAAAATGGAGGAATGGAAGACCAAGGAGAGGGAGGGGGAGAATTGGTAAGCTCTTACCATGGTGGTGAGGATGTACTTGTAAAATGCTGATGTCATCCCCAGCTCTGACGCCTGTAGGACAAAGAGAAAGAGAGATGAAAAAATAAAGAAGAGGCAGGTGGGATACAGAATGTGGAAAGAGAGAATGAAGGTAGATGTAGAAAGATTGATGGAGGGAGAGAGAGAGAGAGAGAGGGCAAAGGAGGAGAGTTATTGAGAGGCAGAGAGCAAAGGAGACAGTTGGGGGACAAAGTAGGAGAGAATATGGGGGAGGAGAGGAAAAGGGAGAGGGAGCATACGTTAATCACAGTTTTACATCATCAGGCTAACACTAGGACACTTGGCTGAGGGCGGACAGCCGCTCCAATGTGCCCAGTGAAAACATCCCATACGCATTCAAACCGTGACTCACTGTGCTGGCTATAGGCATTACAGACCGTACCATGAATCAGAACAAGCCTGGGTAACATCTGCACTGCATCCCAGCAAAATGTTCTTTTGTCAAATACTTTCTTAAGAGTGTAAGTGATCGTTGCTGGCAGACATGAATAAATATTGTTCCCTATGCAGCTCTGGAGGGCAGAGAAGGTAAAAATACATGTTAATTCTGTTACGACAACTAATGTGTAGCCTGTGGGACTTGGAGAGAGTTGTTTTATTATTTTACAGATGGTAAGCTCTTGAATGCCCCTCGTGACTGTAACCTTAATTTCCCGAATGGGTGCATTAAATAGAAAAGCACAAATCCCTGAGTGTTACTGTATACAACAGTAACTTCACATCACTGCATGTGTGGGCGGCTCTGAAGAATGTATTGATGTTCGAGAGCTGACCTTCTTCAGGATGAGATAGGAGACAGAAGCATTGGCGTCAATGATGATGGTGGCCACTTTGTCGTCACGGATCTCCTTCAGCAGCGGCGTAGGGTCCAGGTTGTCATCCAGCATCCTGATTGACAGCGTCTCCCGAGAGATGAGAAAGCGGCGGACCAGTTCCTCCAATCTCAGCAGGCCTGAGGCAGAGCCAAAGCAGAGCCGAGCCGCATATCAATGTCTGTATCAGTAGACAGAACTCATATTTCCAAAATGTAAGCTTTGCAGGACCTGTGAAAATCTTGATTTAGGTTGGGATGGCCATATATTTGTGTCATTTTGCAAAACATGATCGATGGTTTGTCTAAATCCCCAGGAAATGAAACATCATTTAATATGGAGTCTACAGTACGCATTCGCCGTTTCTCTCAGTGGGACTTATTTCTATCTATCATGACCTGCACCAAGTACGTTTTGTATTCAGTGCCATGTGTTTGTTTGTTTAATAGTTAGCAGCGGGGACATAGTGGGGGCAAATCCAAGTAATCTCAGTTTATCCATCTTTTTTAAACGAGGCTGAGAGTTTACACATCAATTTTCAAATCAACAGTATCAATCAATGAGGGGGAACCAGATGGGTAAAGTTAACCCACTTCTGTATTTACCACTACAACCCTGATTAGTAGTATATCTCAACATGAACTTGACAGATTTTGTTAGCTGAAGAAGAGTGAGGCTAAAGTAAGGGAAAAACTGATTAGTTTGCATTACTTTGAACTGTCAAAAGCACCACCATGTACATTTGCATTTGTACATTTTGCTCTTAACACCTGAACAGTGAGGCACAGAGGCAGAATTCTTCCTCTGCACTCTCCATGAATTTTTCAGACTACATCCATTTACACCTAGACAGATATTCCCCCATCTTGAACGTGTATGTGCACTGCAGGTTTTCAGCTTTTCACATCACATTTGTGTACATTGCATATTGAACTAGTTCTCTCACAAAATCATGCTCATACAGACATCTTTTCCATATGTGTGCAAATGTTACTGTGTGAATGCAACAAGATAATATGTGTACATCAGATTGTACAGCAAAACCTGATGACATTTTAGTCATGGGGTCAATGAAATATAACTATAAATAGACAAAACAATTCAGTGTTTGTGAGACTGAATCTTTGTACAAAGCCCTAATACTCCCAGACATAATTTATGTGTCCTCAAAAATTCATGGCTGCCATCAGCCAATCAGCATGACAAATTTCTAAACATTTTCTATTAATAGAATAATAAATTTAGAGGGTTGTAAAGCCTTGGCACAGGTAGGCCCTCTTTGAGTGCTTTGTAATTCACTTTATTTCTGTTGTCTCATCCATCAATAATTGCTTTTCAGTTCTTTGAGTGATGTATGTACTTTGAGTAAAATAGTATGTGTTCAAAAAATTCTCAAAAACTGGAGATGCAAGAATCCTGCAAACCAAGAAATGGACAGAAATCAAAACTGCAGGAGCAGAAAGAATGAAATACAGTACTTGAGACAATTTGCCCACTTCAAGTGAATTCCTCTTGAAAATGAGTATAACCAATGGCAGTCAAGACTCACTTGACATTGTGCGTGGAATGAGCCTTTACTAGAAAGTCTACCCTGCTGCTTGCTAATTGTAATTCCATAGTAAAGCACCCCTAGCTATGTAAATAAGTGGTGGGGCAGGCATCTGGGGGACAGAGGGAGGAAAGGAGGAGGGGAGAGGTAGCGTACAGAGCCCTTCAGCAGGAGAAAGCCTCTGTAAGCAGTGGGGTAATCACTGAACCAGGCCAAAACTTTAATTAGTTTGAGGAAGGAGGGGAAAAAATCAATGCACTTTACAGCTTCCTCTCCTCTCCTCTCTCACTCTCCTTCTTTCACATACTCCCCCTCTCACACAAAAGCTCAAACCTCTCTATCTCTCTCGTCTTAGCCCTGTGCTCTAGTTACCTCTCTCTGTCTTTATCCATCTCGCTCTTACGCCGCCACCGTCTCCTCCTCCGTGTGCTCAGTCTCTCCCTCTCGCTGTCCTTAACCTCATCCATCTCATGAAAACTGCATAATGGAATTAGGCTCAGATAGCGCGTTGTGACCCAGGCATAGCGAGAGAAGGATACGTCGGAAATGACCCAAAATCTCTGTCTCACTCTCATTTAACAGAATATCTATGGACTGTTACTTGCACAGGCTAAAGAGGGACAAATTAGATTAATTCCATTAACATGCTGTTGCAAAAATGACCAGTTTCCAAATACGTTACTTAATTAGGATGCAAGCGCGGTGGGTGTCAATGAAATGTGTGACTTCACACATTACTCGCCTCACTGACAAAAAAGAGAGAATGTCTACTTCACTTGAACACACCACTCCACACTGGGGTAAACAAGATGAATAAAACAAGTGCACTGGTGGTAAACATTGTCTGATGTTGAACCTCTGCAGCGCCACAGCAGAGCCGCACACACAGTCATACAATCATACAAGTATCCCAAAACTCACTCACTCACACAGGCAGTACAGTACACACACACACACACACACATACATACATACATACATAAACCACTACTCAAACTACACGCACATGTACGGACAAAGCGAGCCAAGCACACAGAAAAAAATATATCAAACACACACATACATACCATGCCACACACACACCCACACAGTCGTTCAGAGTGTGGAACAAGCCTGTTGAGTGGCAGTTAGCACCTATTCTGCAGCCATGGCAACCAGCTCCATGGCGATAGATAGCGCAGCCAAGTGGGTCAGAGTCTGTGAGAGTGATAACCTTGTATAGATCACCTTCAAGCCAAATATATTACACACACACACACACACACCTGAGTCTCTCAAGCAGTAAAAGCTGCATCTTTTGGCCCGGATGGTAACTATCAGGGTATCTGTTGCCTCTAATTCCCATGAGAGTAGGAAGCCCAGTGAAAGACAAGGCTCTTATCTATCCATTCAACTGATGATCAAAATGAGAAAAAAAGATGTCTGATGCCATTTCAAAGCTCTTTTAGTTCAATGAAATGACAAGTCCACAAGGAATTCAGCTTACTTACAGAAAATCGCCGGAAGGCTGGTTAACTGCTGGGGAGATAATAAGCGTTTTTGGAACAAACTGTTTTTGGGGCTCCCTGAGAGGAATGGCCCACTAGGGAGGTCCCATGAGAACTACATACCTTCAAGGGCTTTTTTCCTGTTTGCATTCGCACTGGCAACAGGAACGCTGAAGAAACGCAAGCTGGCCGGCGGTTTAGTAACATCACTTCTGCACATCATGTACGCCCAATAAAGCCTGGACTATATTTTAAGGCTACCATTAGAAGCTGTTGTTCACGATGCTAACAAATGCTCTGAAGTAGGAGTTAAAAGAAGTCCCTCAAAAATGAAGGGGGGGTGGGAAGGGGGTATGGTCCTCCAACTGGTCTCAGGACTACGCAAAAGTTCTTCCAGTCTGAAAATGCCTAATAAAAGCATCTCAATGATTGAATCAATTTTTGTTTGTCAAAATCTACCCTTTTCACACTGCAACGAGAAGTGTTCACAGGCTTCAATGGTCCCACTTATTCTTTATGTAATTGCCCTTTAGTTCTTGTGCAGTTCTACTTGGCTGGTGTGAGCAGTCAGCAGCTGCACAACAACTCATCCCAGCTCAGTTTCACTCAGAACTGCACAAAAAGTCAGGAGATTATTCAGTGAAAAAAGTAAGATTTTGCCACCTCCTGCAGCACATGGAGTATTCTGTAACGTATTCAGCTTTGTTTGAATACTAGAGCCACCATCCGACCAAGCCCTTTAATTCCTGTGACTCTCGATAGGGTAGTGCATAATAAATCAATAACGCACTCTTTTTCAAAATGAAAATAAAGAGGGCTAGTGACTAAGCCCTGAATCCCCTGTGATGTTAAAGCTCTCTGAGTGCCTGGCAAGTTAAATCAAATGTCCGCTAAGTTCTTCCAATACTGAAAAGCATTTCAAACACGAATATTTATTAAAATGGTTTTGGCCTAACAACCCTCTGAGGTGGATAAAAGACAGTGTGCGAGAGCATGAGTAATAAATAGGAAGGCTGCAGCATGAGCCATGTTCTGAACTCTGACAACAGACAGAACTTTATGACCAGACTGTCAAAATGAGTGTCCAGTGGCGCAAAACAGTCATATCCGCCCAAACGGTGTGAATGTGCCAACACTCCCACAGAGGCATTTGCGCACACACACACACGCAAAAAAATACACATATATTGGGTGAATAAGCTTCCAAGTCCACAACCGATGCATTTACACCCACCTAAACACAGCCTTGCAGTCACACATAATGTACAGTATAACTATTAAACAGACTGCATGTGTACTCACACTCAGCCTTGGCGCAGACCAAGCTGGCTGAGGGGTAACTGAACGAGCGCAAGATGGCTCCTATGGCCAGGCTCAGGTCCTCGTTGCTAGGGTACAGAGTGACAGAGGCAAAGCGCAGGTACGGTAAGCGGGGAGTTTCCTCCGGACCAATCTTCACATGAGGGATCTGAAGGTAGGAGAGAGGAGAGAGGAGAGAGGAGAAACATTAGGGAAGGCAAGAAAAGCAAATGTGTCGTGATTAACTTCCCTCCAAACACACACAACAGGAAAAAAAAATGTGGGTAAGGAAGATTCATTAGAGATGCTACAGGGTGAAAAGAGAGATAAGAAAGATGGCAGGAAGAGAACAGAGAGACCTAAAGATAAAAGGCTATGGTAAATGAAAAGAAGAAGTGGATGACGATTAATTATTTGAGTAGAAATTCAGCAGGCAGGAAAATCTTTAGATACATTCATCATGACGTCCATGTGGGTAGGAGGGGTAGTAAGTCAGAGAGAAAGATTTGTAAATATTTGTGTATCTCCCACACTCACCTCCTTCTCTCCACATATATGACTGACAGTAGAGCCAGAGGCGGGGCTGGAGGCGGGACCTATGACAGAGACGACGCCTTTGGGTAGAATCTGACACACTGAAAAGGAAAAAAGGAAAATAAACACTGAATATGCAGACACACACACACACTCTCCTCTGCTTCATTTTGATGGCAGCACAGAGTTGGCATACAGTAGGGGCTGCAGTCGGGGGAACGTGTGGAAATTTAAAGTGCAGTGAAAACTCAGAGGAGGCATTAGTATTTCAGTTTAACTCCTGATTCTATCGCACAACACAATCATTATAATCGGATTTATTTTTCGCTAAACACTACAGCAAGTCAGGTCAGGGGTTGTCTGCTGCTACTATTTCCCTTGGTTAGACATTTAGACCATTTTAAAGACATTTTGCCTCAATTATATGTCTGGTTTCAGAATAACATTAACAGGTTGGTGATCGCCTTTAATTTGCCATATCACCCTTTTTTGCTGAAGGACATTAATGTGGGAAAAACACATTTGTCTATTACAATAAGCACTTTGCTTAGGAATGGCTCAAGGAAACACTCTCTCCATGATTCACTATGCAGTCTATTCAAGCATAGATTTCACTATTCAAAACCCCCAAGTAATAACAAATGTCTCCACTATATGAACTATATCCTGTGCAGAAAATAATTTCAGACCTTCTCTGTGATACATTTATTTCAACACAGTACATTTTATCTATAGTACAATCATTTAAGGCAATCACGGTTTTCACCCCCCTGAATGAAGCACACCTCAGTGTTTCTCTTCATTTGAACCCTGACACAGATCAGCAAGGTCAAAACCTGTCTGTTCTTTTGGAATGTAACTAATATTTTTTTTTAATCATGATGCCAATAAATGATTAAACGTATTAACAGGACAGGTTATGCTCATTGTCTGTCTTAGACTAGACTAATTGACCGTCCTGCAGTCTGTCTTATGCATAAACAGCTGTAACACATTTGACAAAATGTCACACTATTCCTTTAAAATCAAACGTCTGCTATTGATTAGTATCCCTAACGTTTGACCATGTTATGCACGCAGGGGCTCCATCCCTTAGCAAACAGAAATATTTGTTTTTGTATCTTTCGGATGGGCAGTGAGTTCATTTTTATTGACAATGTTTTCTGTCTACCCACCTAAAAAATGCTTTCTCAGATTGAGCAGAAATCTGTCTGGTGACTTAACTGTGTTATTGTGATAGTCATAAAGCTCTTTTCTTGCTGGTATATTTGGTTGGTATTTTAATTCAACCCAATTAGTCCTCCTCAGTCCCTGCCACTGTCTGTGTGTGTGTGTGCATCTGTGTCGGCAGAAAGGGATGTGTGTGCATGCATGTGTGAATGCCTATGTGTGAGCGGGTGTGTGCATGTGTGTGCTATTGGGTGCGTGCAAGCGTGCCTCAGACAGCCGTAGCTGTAAGATGATGAGCTCTCTGATCCAGAGACCAAAAAACGCTGCGAGCAAACAAGCCTGTCAGAGTCTCCTGCCCATCGGTCAAGGACACACACACACACACTGAGAACACATAAACACACACATCTGCAACTCAAGCATGCACATATGTACACAACCCTTCTAAAGCACACATAGACATTTTGCCAGTAGCTTGTGGCAGGGTCAGTGACCTATTAGAATAGGAGCAGGGAGTCTCTGTTTCCTCAGTGACTGGATTCAGCAGTTCTTCTGTCTTTACAGACTCCAAACATTCTGTTTTAACTCTGTATATCAATACAAATTTCATGGAGTAGCCTCTGTGGTGGGGTGCTGCTTTCTGTTGGCCTGCACTGCTGATCTGTATTAGTATTTGATTATTTGTTTTTGTCGTGGCCTGCAGAGAAGACTGTGCCGGCTGTTACTGGAGGGCACTGATCCACTGTTTTTAATGAGACAGGCTTACTGGCCCATTACTAGTCTCCAATGACATGTAAACTAATCAACACAAGCCCTTACTGGTTCCTAATCACATAAGTTTTGGAGTTTTTTTTTTTTTTATCATTCTAGTCATCATTTGAGGTTTTTGCTCACAAAAAGGCAGCTTTATAGAAAATGTAATTATCTTTTTTGAAAAATATCAACAACTTTCTTAAGCGGCCTAAAAACCTGCAGTATTCAGTAGACTGCTGCTCTTTTCTATTCTGTACTGGTCACTATTAATATTAATATTCCATATTACTAAGGTATTTTTAGTGGACACTTTGCCTGTGCTAATTAGACACTATGCCCCATTGGACTAATGGATTGAGATGGACTTTATCACTCTCTGATGGGTTGTGTGAAATCTGCTTTACGGGTCTTCTTCAGTGTGCATCAGCTCCACTCACTGGTGTCAGTAGTGTCGTACTGGGAGTCTTTTTGCAACTCGTATATGTCCACCTCCACTCGGGCTCTGGACGGACCCTCCATCACGCTGTTGATGTTCTCCCTGGCCAAGGACAGCGCCAGCCGCTCCCCGCGCCCACACACAGACTGGTCATCCAGGATAGCCGCTAGCGAGGCAGAGAGGGAAGGAGAGATAGGTGAAGCAGAGCTGAGAAGGACAGAGTATGAAGATGGAGAGCAGTGAAAGGGGAGAAATAGGTGAGGAGTGAGCAAAAAAAAGATGAAAAGGAGTGGAGGTGGAAGATCTGTGCTCATGTGTGGGTGGGAATGTGTATTGGGAAAAAGAGTGGAGCTGACAGAGGCATCAAAACCCCCGAAGGAATGAAGGGATGTGACCTTGTTTGAATTATAAAGTCTTATTAAAGTCAGACAGTATCATAAATTAAAATGTGACATTTTGGGACATATGTGTATTGGCTGCAGTTTGTCTTCATTAGTGCAGTTTGTCTGTAATTACTATATGTTGTCATGATTTTCAAGAAGGTTCCCCTTGTCATATTAAATCATTTGGGCTGATATGATCTGTCCTTAATGGAGTTAGTTACTTATCAAAATACTGATACGGCAGACACCTTTCAGAGATGACAAACGCTGCAATTTTAGCCAGTTTTATAGAAGCATTTGTAGTTGCAATTAAGTTACCTCAAAGCTTAGGTTCTTTAATCTATGATATGTTTACATTGTTTTGTCTTACCTCTGTGTACATGAGCTGCTTTGGTCAGACCAAAAACCTTTAGTGCTTATAGAAAACCGATACTGTGTAGGTATTCTTAAACCTCATCCAGGAGAACCAGTAATATTTAAAACAAAGTACAGTTACTCCAACATAGACAGAGGCATTGTTGCAGGTGTCAGCCAGCTCTTTCTGCTCCTGATGAAGGCTTTTTGGAGCTTAATCTTATTCTTACACCTGCATACATACAGTAGATCAAAAAGACTTCAATAATTATTCTAAGATTGTATCTGCATTTTACTGTGTAAAGAAAACAGTTTGGACACCAACGGGTATATTATTGGTGGTAATTTGGCTTTTAAGTGCTTTGCTGTGACTCCATCTCTTATTGTACTGACCAAAGTGGCACAACTCAAAGCAGGCTAAAAACAAACCATGAAAAGTATGCTGAGAAACTTTTCCATGTATGGTAGGGATGGAGGCCACTCACCCATGCGGACAGAGGAGAGCAAGGGGGCCTGACTGAGGGAGCGTGGCGGCATGGTGACTAGCAGGAAAGAGAGGAAGTGTATTGACAGCAGCAGTGCTGGCAGAGCCGGCATCTTCTACTGCTCCTCATGGAGAACGGTCTGCTGGATGCCTGTACCACCACCTGCAGGAGCGGAGGACACACAGCGCGTTACTGGACACATAATCACGCACAAGATGTATCTCTTTAAATTGTCATCCTGTGGCTTATCTTCAGTTTGCTCTGTCACATTCCCATATAGTGGGAGTACCTGTAATTTGACAGCACATACAATAGACTTTCATACTCCACTATGAAGATGTTCTCTGTCAGATCACAGAGGCAGCCCAGTCCCATGCATACAGCCTCTCTAATAAAATACAGTACAAACATCTCTATTCATGCCTCCTGTGGAAAGCCGTTTAGAAGTGACAGGACTCAGCCTTGAAGAGATCTCCAGCGGTTCAAAGACAACATCACAACAACTGGCACACACATTGCCGCACATACACATCTACACTACGTACACACGCATACATACATATAAAATGAACCATTACACAGTTGCATACTACAAAAGCTAACTGAACAAACACAGACAGACTCACAAGCACAGCCATGACTACACACATAACCATTAAATATACACCCACACAAGCCTGTACACACTCAACCCTCACTCCCACCTCTAAACAGACACACAAACACAGAAAGACACACAAAAAGAGAGCTCAGCTGAGCTCCACTGGTGCTAAGAAGCCCTCTCAAGGAGTGACAAAGCCTTGCTCTGACTGACAACCTGACAAGGCAGAGTGTGAAAGGATGGAGAAATGAAGGGAGGGATGAAGACAGAGGCGAGGAGAAGAAGTGTTGTGTGACGGACAGGCAGGGAGGTTGAGGGAGGGGTGGTGTTGGAGATGCTGGCAATAGTGGTGGGGGCTGTTGACCTGGGAATGTTTCAAACGTCTGGGTCGCTGGTCTGAGCTGTAGACAGGTCTGACAGACAGCTGAAAGAGTCAGTTCATGACCTTCAATTGACCCTTGCAGCTGTAAACAAGGGGTTGTAGGAGTGGTAGACAGCTGACCTTTGACCCTGACAAGCGCACATGGGGTTTAGAAATGAGTTGCCGTTGTGTGTTTGTGTATACACAATGTTTACATCAAAGAGGCAGATGTGTGGATTGTCGGCCCCTGTGTCGAACATCCCTCCCATCTCCATCCTTTTTATAGCCTTTTCACTTTGAGATTTTCATTTTGTCTTTTTTCTCTCTGCTCACCTTTTCAACACTTGTTTA